GGGGGGGGCAAAAATGCACCTTGCCTGTGTAGGCACGAATCCTAGCACCGGCCCTGCAGTCTCTCCTCCCCGCTGGTGCTGGCTGCAGTAGTCTGTTTCCCCACTGCCTCTGCCGGTACAGGTGGGGAGAGCAGTGAGGATTTGAAGGGACACAGACCGCTGCAGCCAGCACCAGCAGGGCAGTTTTCCTCCCACTAACTACTCTATCATTTCTTTTTCATTACTGAAAAGTGGTAAAAAAACAAACAAACTGTTGGGAAGAGTATATTTTACTCTCCCAATACTTCTTCTTGAAAGCAGAACCCCGGTAAAAAAATCGTATTAACCCTTGCAGTAGGGCTACCCCTGCACTGCAAGGGTTAACTGCTCATTTTTGCCTAGGGTAAAAAAAACAAAACGTTATACTCACCAGATCCTCCAACTCTAGACTGGTCCCTGGAGCCTTTTTCTTCCTCTGCTGCAGTGGTCTGAGGTCCCTCAGATGCCATGTCCAATACAGTGTATAGGACATAAGGACGCTGAGGGACATTCCATCACTGGAGTGGAGGGAGAGACAGGCGGGAGGGAGCGCTGTCACAGCAGGCCATCTTCGAGGACCAGGTAAGTATAACTTTGTTATTTTTGACCCTAGACAAAAGGAACACTTAACCCTTGCAGTGCATGAGTAGCGCCACGTTCACACCTCGACGTTTGTGGCTGGTATTTTTCAGCACGGAAAAGCTCAGCACAAGAAGTCCTATTGATTTCTATAGTTCCCGTTCACGTCTCAGCACAGCGTCGCGCTGAGAAAGAAGGCGGCCGCTGGAAAAAAAAAGTACAGGAGCTTCTTTTTTGGGCAGATCAGTACGATTAGGAATAGGAAAAAGGGTCACATGACGCTGATCTCAGAACACGCTTGGTGTGAACTAGCACTTAACCTTAATTTTTTTTTTTCCTTTTTTTGTTTTATTTTTTCCATTTTTGTCCCCCGTTATTTTTACTTTTAAAATTCCCGCCGGTTCCGCCCCCTTGCGATGCTGACACTCGCAATGGACAGAACCCGGAAGCCGGCATCGGCTGGAGGAAACAGCGCGGCTCGAGGGACAAGGTAAGTAGCGCTACGCTGTAATCACGAGCGTGGCTCGGGGTTACCGCTCATGGTACTGAAAATAAACCCTGAGCCACACTCGGAAATACAGCCAAGGATGTTAACGACAGCAAAGGTAAAACCCGTGCATGTGACGCATCTCAAGTTTGATGTGATACTGTTGTAGCTTATGTTTCTGCTTGCTTGTGTGGCTATTGTAGGTCTGTGCAGCTGCAGATCTCCATGTGTTGTGGAGCTATAAATCCCTATAAATAAAGCTATAAATCCCAGTATGCAGCTATCTTATCTGGGTGTACAGACTTTTATGCATCACAGGACTTGTAGTTCCACAGCTGCTGAAAGGCTGTAGTTGTTAAAGGAGAACTATGGGGTCAGGGCTTTTCCCCATAGTTCTCTTAAGGGTCACGGGAGAACACTACAGCTACGGCTCGTGGTATACTGAGACGCCGCAGCTGGAACAGATCCCGACAATTCTGTCTGGATCCACCCAGCTGCGTGAGTGACAGCTGGCTCTGCCTATCTAGAGGCAGAGCCAGCTGTACCCGCCCTCTCCGCCAGTCAGCGCTGGAGCATCGGGGGGTTGGATCCCTGCAGGGAGCCATGAGTGACAGTCACAGCTCTCTGCAGGGATAGATCGAGAAGTGAGCGAGCGCCGGTATGTGTTCGCTCACCTCCCGATCTACTGAGCCGACCTGGGACAGTTTCGTTGTCACAGGTCGACTCAGATTATGAGGCTGAGTGAAAATCACTCACCTCATAATTCTCCTTTAGGCCTTGGCTAATTTGTAGGAGTGTATTATGTCATGAACAGGACTTCTTTTCATTGGACAACACTCAATACACCCATATGCAGAAACACGTCCAAAACGTGCTTCCATTTTGGGGAAACGTACATAAACGTGCGAATATCACACAAAAACGTGCGTAAAACACGCGAAAATGCTGACGACTAAGTGTGAACGGGGACTAAGGGTTAATGAAGATTTGCACTGGAGTTGTTCTTTAGTGTTGATTGTGTCCTTCTAGAATGAACTTCCTCTTTAAGCTGCAAACTATTAAATGATCAGAGTAAGACACAAGTTTGTCTTCAGGAAATAAATACTAGAGCTGTGATTAGACAGCTAAAGGACAGCGAGATGTCCCATTGTGTCATCTACCTGAGCTTTGTCTTAGCTCACACCCCCCTCCTCTTGTGGCCAGTCCATCTCCCTCCGCTCCGCCCGAGTACCCGCCTGCTGTTACTCAGTTTCAACAACCAAAACAATCCTAGCTAGCAAGGCGCCGTGGCCGCCATGGAGGCTACAGAGGATTCGGGGGTGATCGCCCTGCTGTCCCTCCGCTCAGCGCCGTGCAGCCCCGTGCAGAACAGGCGTTCTATGCCAAACTTATCGGCCGCTGCCATTGAAGGGCCCATCCTGGCCCGTCTGGAGGGCCGAGACTTTGAGTTCCTCATGAGGACCCCGTCAGTGATTATCGGACGTGACTCCAGCCAGGGCTCAGTGGACGTCAACATGGGTCGCTCCAGCTTCATTTCCCGCAGGCACCTTCAGCTGAACTTCGTGGAGCCGAACTTCTACCTGCGCTGCTTCGGCAAGAATGGAGTGTTTGTGGACGGGGCCTTCCAGCGGCGGGGGGCTCCCCCCTTACAGCTTTCCAGGCAGTGAGTTGGATAGGGAGACGCAGGCCTAAGGATTGGGGGGGCGGAGGAGGGGGGTCTGGTATGTGCAGAGTGCTATGTGACCGGTATGTGCAGAGTACTGTGTGACCGAGAGACAACCGAACGTGCTGATAATCTTCTCTGTGACTAGCGCGTAGCCTAACGTGACTGTTTTGGCAACTTTGTGACAAGTAGTGTGGTGTCCCGGGAAGTGACACATTGTAACATTTCACCTCATGGCTTCCTCCGCTCTCTAACACAACTTGTGCCAACTCAGAGCGGAGAAGTGCTGGCTGCCGCCTGCGTGTTTACACAGGGCTGCATGGAGTATTTCCGTCCCAGCCCTGTGCACATGGAGGCTCCCTCACTACTACTGCTGAGCAGCTTGTCTAAATAAAGGCCTGCTGCTACATAGTGGCGGCTCAGCAATACAACGTACATCCGCATTCACAACTCTGTGTACAGCTCGCTGGAGTCCTCCCAGGTGTCAGCTCTATCAGCCTGACCACTGAGGCCTACATTGTCCTGGCACATCCAACATCCAATGTTTACTCATTCAGCAAACAGTTACAGCTAGGGCTTTCTTTCTTTTCCCTTCCGCTGTAATCGTTTCATCGTATGGTAGACGCGGTTTCTTTGTAGAACGCTGATGAAGTAAGCGGATTGATGACGTTTAAGCTGTTGTAATAAATGATATTAGGTTCCACTTTTTTTTTTTTAGTGGGTTCTAATGTTACTGGTTTCCAACTGTATAAAACTCTGTACTGATCTTGTTACAGTTGTTGGTTGTTTGTCCATTAAGAATACATGCGCTTTCAGAGAAGGTGCACTTAAAGAACTGTGGGTGACATTTTTGCACTGCAAGGGTTAAGTGGTTGTTTTCATCTAGAGAGGCAAATAAGGTTTGATTTTTTTCCCCCGAGCCTCAGAGATGGCCAGCTGTGACAGAGCTCCCTCCAGCCTCTCTTCTCTTATGGTACAGCAATGCTATGTCCCTCGGCGTCCTCGCCTCCTATACACAGTGTATAGACCGTGATTATTCAGAGCCCTGAAGCTGGCCATACACCTATAGATTTTCCATTGGAAATTTTCGTTGTTGCCAAAAACCCTCTTTTGATTCTAGCTCGAATGGCCCATCAAGCACGGACAAATGTCAATTTCCATAATCGTTCTTGCTGCAATTTTCTTTGTACGAAAACGCCACCATTTATGTTTGATTTGAAAAAAGTTTTCCAGCCTGACACTTCAAGAACATTCAAGCGGGATTACAGTAAAAATGGTGTCCAGTCAACTGTTCAATTATCGTTTTGAAAGACCATGGAAGATTTCCGAAGGAGGATCGAAGAGTGTATGGGCACCTTTTAGACCAATGCAGTGGAGAGGGAGCGAGGCAGAAGGGACCAGTCTAAAAACAAACCAACTCAGAGGTTCAGGTGAGTATAACTTTATTTTTCCCCTGTAGATGAAAACCAGCAGGTAAAGTGTTATTAAACCCTCGTCATTTTTGCATGCAATCTACTGCTAGCAAACAGATATATGCAAAAACATAAAAGAAAAAAAAAAAAAGTTTACAAAAAGGTTCAAACTTGTGTGTGTCTCCGCCGCGCGCTCCCGTCCAAAGATTCTCAGGTGGCCGCAAAGCATCTTGGGGCGGGCACGTGCTCAGTTCAGATCTTCGGCCGGGAGCCGAGGAGAGACACAAGGAAAGTCAATGGAGGCAGCGTGCACCCGCATACAGGCACCGTGAGACAGGAAGTGCCAGGAAGAGAGAGGAGTCAGTGCTGGATTGGAGACCGACACCAGTGCTGGAGGGACTCCTGAAAACTACAGGTAAGAAGAAGATGATGATCTGATCAAGAGGCTTCATTTAAAGGAGAACTATGGGGTTAAGGCTTTTCCCCATAGTTCTCCTTAGGGTAACGGGAGGACACAAACTAGCGTCCTCCCGTTACCCTAAGCTCAGTATACCGCAAGCTACAGCTCGCGGTATACTGAGACGCCGGAGCGGATCCCGACGTAGATGACGGGATCCGCCCAGCTGCGTGAGTGAACGCTGGCTCTGCCTATCTAGAGGCAGGGCCAGCTGTACCCTCCCCCTCCCCCGTCCGTTCCGCCAGTCAGCGCTGGCGGATCGGAGCGGGGAGGGGGGAATCCAGCCCCTCCCCCTGTCACGGCAGAGAGCCGTGACAGGATCGAGTGGTGAGCGAACCTGGTATGTGTTTGCTCACCTCCCGATCTACTGAGCCGACCTGTGACAGTCTCATTGTCACAGGTCGGCTAGAACTATGAGGTGAGTGAAAAGCACTCACCTCATAGTTCTCCTTTTAAAGCAAGTCCTTACACTAGCATCAGGGGGGATTGCCTTGCCACTTTTAACCCTTGCAGTGTGGGGGAAGCCCCACTGCAAGAACAAGAATGAATAATGTTTTGCCCGGAGTTCTTCACATGCATGCATGCATGCATACATACATACATACATGCATGCATGCATGCATGCATACATACATACATACATACACCAGTATAATTATATTAGAAAAAAGATCAATTTTCGGAATGTTCATTCAATTTTCTAATAGCGTTTTTTTCTCGAGAACCTGCATTCATTCCAAACTTGAATGTTAAAATCAAACAAAATTTCAAATGACATCCGTCAAGTCTCTGATGGCATTTGTGAATGTTCTGACGAGAGTTTTTTGTATGAAAGTTTGTTTGAAAATCTACCATTGTAGCCAGCTTTAATCTTTTTACCTCCCCTGACCTAACAGGGCCCTTCTATCCCCTCCGATGATGCATGCTGAAACGAGAACTCTGGGCAGAACCAAACTTCACCCTTTGTAGTGGGGCTATCCCAACACTGCAAGGGTTAAGTGCTCATTGTGGGCTAAAATAAATATACACACCTGATCCTCAGTCCCACCGGGCTGCTAGACCAGTCCCTGCAGCCTCTCTCCCCCTCCACTCTGGTGGTCTATGGATCCGTAAGTCAACACATATAATGCGGTATATTATATAGGGACATTCCATCACCAAGGGAGGAAAGGCCACAGGGACCGTTCTAGCAGCCCAGTGGGACTGTGGTTCAGGCGAGTGTATCTTTGTTATTTTAGACCCTAGGCAAAAACAAGCACCTAATTGCAGTGTAGGGGTAGCCCAGAGTTCTTATACACTAATAGGTTGTTTTTTTTGTAAATTTAGCCTATGGGCTGAATAAAAAAAAAATCTAAGAGTTTCCTCCATCCAGGGGAAATGGCATGATTGGCTGCAGTCACTGTTTAGGTAAAAATGTTCAGCCTAGCTCCTTCAACCAAAGTCCAATGAGTAATTACATCTTGTTGAGCTGTCAGGGCCTCTCACTGTTAGAATTTCAGTATATGGGCAGCCTTCTAGAGATCCGGCACCCGGGGCCACAGAGGATTTTTTATTTCCCATGCCAAACCCTCTTTCTGCTATCTTCACCTGCACAGGACTGCACCAAAGGGCTATAGGGCTTGTCTCCCTGTGTCTGCGGATCTCATTGAGTATGCATCTTCAGAAGAGGAGGGGGTGAAAGTGCACTTATTCTTTCAAGAAGAATTAAAGTCCATTTTTTTGGCATATATTTACTGTTAGTAAGCAGTAGATATATGACCCAACATTAAACAAATACCAACAAACTTACCGGTGTCAGCGGCGCTTGTTCACGCTGTAGAAGTACCGGCTCCCGAACGCTGTGAAGGAGGAAGTGTAGGCGGGTGCATGTGCAGTATAGATCATAGGAGGAGAGCACTGCTGACACTGAATAGACGCAGCCGGGAGCACGCACGCACAACAGACTCTATGGGACCCGAGGAGACTGTGGTGGATCAAAGACCGTCACCAGCACTGGAAGAAGAAGATGTTCGGGTCAAGAGGCATCACACAAGGTAAGTCCTTAAAGCAGTATGATAGGGAGGGATCTAGCTTTTAATGTCACTTTAAGATGACCACACACTAAGGATCTTTTCATACATACTGCGGTGACCTGCGTTGTACCAGATCAATGCAGGTCACTGAAGGACACACAGAAAACAATTGCTTTCTATGTGTTCCATTCACACCACAACATGGGTGGTGGGTGCTCTGTGCTGCGATGCAGTGCAATAGACGCCACCACAGATTGCTGTACACTGTGCTGCCAAATGGGAACTTGAATGGAGTGTACATCTTGTACACTCCACATAAAGTTATAAAAAGAAAAAAAATGTAAACAGTGACTGCTCCAGCATTGTGTGTGATCCAAAGCACACTGTCAGAGCTGCCACAACGCACTACACTAGTGTGAATGGGCCTTAATTGATGTCTTTCGTTCAGCCTGTGGGCTGAACTAAAGAAATCCCAGTAAATTTCTCCTTCCTCGCCAAACAGCTTGGATATGGGCTATTGTATTTTTACAGCCAATGCCCGTCGCTGTCAGAATACCCAAACGGAGGCTGCAGTCATTGTTTGGCTAATAATTTCTGGGCCAGCCGCTGTAAAAATGTTGATCGATTTCCTGTGTATGGCCAGTTTTATGGCTAGTTCACATTATGTGCAGAAACTAGTGCTTTTCTGCACCAGACCAACGCCAGTCACCGCAAGGACACAGAAAATGATTATTTTGTATGTGCCTTGTTCACACCCCAAGGCTGGGGTGATGTGCAACACATCGGAGCTCATCTGATGTAAGTGCTAGTCACCACACTACTGCTCAGCTGCAGTACATGGACATGGATGAAATGTCACGTTGACATTTCAATAAAGTTTGGGGTAAAAAAAGTTACACAGTGCCTTGCCCTGTTAGAACATAAGGCACTGTCCCCCGTCACCTGCACAGTACAGACATCTAGCTTGCAGGCATGTGTCAATGGATCTTTAAGGCTGTTTTTGTTTGATTAATAGATTCCAATACATTGAGGGGAATCTGGAGCAGTTGCCCATGGCAACCAATCGGCCTCTTTTTTTCCATTTTCAAATCTTCATTGAACTGAAGAAAGAAGCTGATT